CACATATACAATTAACCTCTTTTTAAGTACTAGCTAAATATAATTCCAATCTCTTAATTTCACTGCTTGACGGTAAATATTTTGCTAATAATGACGACAGATTTGTCTATGTTTTGGTTTTTATAAAGGAAGCACATCACAATTTGGTGATAGAAATTGGATTGTTTGGAAGGTCAACTGTCATCTTTACCTTCAGTACGCTTAGTTGGGACGATAGAATGAGGAAGAATAACAAATACAAAATTTACGTAGAGCTTTATTTGACTAATAGGAATGAAATAATCTAATCGTGGATTTAACCAGTTAAATGACTGCAGAATGTAAATGTAGGCACAAGATAAAAAGGTAAAACTATTTCCAGCCTTGAAATTTTGCGCCTGATGCTTGTTTGGTAAAACGTATTCTGATTTACTTTTCGACATTTCATAGGAGAATTTACGGATTAACATAAGCAATGTTTGTCAGATATTATGCATACAACGTGGTCTGTCCGCCTACTCTCACAATAGTCTATTATGACGATAAAGATGATAAGAATAGAAGTATTTCGGTAGACAGTTATATAATTACTAGACGACCTAGTAGTCCAGAAGTACACATAAACCTGGAATATCTCTGAATTTCAAATATCATCGGTCACCATCTGTTTATTACTATCAATTTCCACTAAATTATAATTAGTAACAGAGTGATTAAACAGATGTTGGAAAAAGTGTTGTTCATTACAAACATCTAGGATGGATTGAATTCCAGTCTAGTATTGGTTAAACAATATTTAGAAGTGTTGTGGGTACAGAAGAAAGGTTAGTGTATTTTCAAGATCACCATCAAACGAGTAACCACAATGGAAATATACTGGCTTAATTTAGTAAGCACTTCAAATGAAACAAAATTCATTAACAAAAATACATATTTTACATTTAATGAAAATAAGACTTAAAGTGAATGAGATTTGTTCTACCCAGATCTTACTTTTAACAGTAATACTTCCCGACTTAAAATATTATAGCGAACTAGACTGCTTGTACCAAAGGCGATAAGCCATGAAAAGCTTTGCTGCTAAGGAAAATTTTTAAGTCCTGAAATTCGATTTCTTTTCTGAAATTCAACTATCAAGAATGATATTTAAAACATCTTTTTCCGAACGTTTTGGTTAAATTAATGAAAGAGAAAAACTCAGGCACTATTGTAGAGTATAATTCCGTATTAGATTGTTCATCTTATATAGCATTTTATATAGTATGACTTACTGGATGGTGTTTTGAGCAACGTATTTCGCCCATATTCATATCATAGTCATATCAGAAACTTTGAAATGAATTTTTCATTGTTATTTGTGCCTTGAGTTCCTAATGGAACATAGGGATTCAGTAGCATGTCTCCAGTCCACTCTGTTATCTGCAATCTTGTGAACATGGCTCCACGATTGCTCACATCCTCTCATTTCTTCCTCACATGATCTCCTCCATGTCACCCTCTCCTCGAACACCCAACTTGTCACTTCCCATCTAGGTTGCACTCGACGGTCTGGCCTGTTGTGTGATGTCCACCAATGATCTTCTCAGTGTATACCTGATCCAATCCATCTCCACTTCCTTCCGTATATTTGTTGGGTGATGGGTTCTTGATTGGTTTGTTTGCAGCCAGCCAGCCAGTCAGTCAGTCAGTTAGCCAACCAAAGTTCCTTGTTGCCTATTCATTCTGGCCATCTGAGCTTCATTAACGAGCTGGCATAGGCAGTTGTTGATGAATGTCTGTAGTTTGTTGGAAATGCTTTTCGTAACGCACCAAGTTTTGAAATGAATATGAGGAATAAATTCTGCTCGAAACATCATCCAATGAATCATACTGTGTCATGTGTACTATATGAAGTACACAAACTGAAATGGAATCTTCCTCTACTGACAAATATGTCTATGTATCACTAAGGTGTGTTTGAAAAGGCTTGTCGACAAAAGCTTTACATATACTTAACAAAGCTCCCTTGGAAATTTCGTTATACGGCCTTTGATTTGACTTCGTTGAAACTTTTGAAACCAGCTGCTTTTACTACACACTACGGAAAACACTTGGACTTGAGACTATAATTTTCATTTTTATATTCGCTTCAAGAAAGAAAAGAAAAATCATTCTGTTTCTCTTAAAAACTAAAAAAGAATCAGAGGTTAACTCGAATAATTCTGATTACCACTTCAAAACATTTCTATACATGAAAATAAAATTAAGTTTCAGATAGAAAGTGATAAGTGATATCATTTAGAAGAATTCACTAGTTACTTCATTGTCACCGAGAGTCGATAAAGTTTTATTTTGATGTTTTTGGAGTTTCAAAAAAATGTTAAAATTTTTTCGAATTTTCAGGTTAGTAAGAATTTATTGGTTCCAAGTTAGTATTCATTGTGGACTGACATCACTGGAATAAACATTAGGAAAAGGATTTTGCCTATCTTTTTATACTCAGCCAGATTGAAACGATGATCACGCTAGTTGCAGAAGAAATGAGAAGATAACTCGATATACTGTCGTCATCCTACTCACCTGAATATTTCATTCATTGGTTTTTGCTGTAAAGTATCGCATGGTCAGTAGCGATATCTAATGTATTTTATATTAAGAATGTAAGAGTATGTATAACTCTCATCTTTATTCTAAACTCATATTGCATGTACTTGAAGTGAATCTGAAAACATCTAGTTTTTGTTCATGAGCCATGGATACTCTTATTCAGTACACACAACTGAAGACTTTTGATTCAAAAAATAAATTTTGTACAAATAAAAGGATGAATATGGAAGATAGTAAAGTTAAATTGTAATATTTTTATTTTAAAACTACCAGTTGTCACCCTTTATGCTCTGTTATATACTAAATTTGCTTACAAAGCAAATTAAACGTGGATAGCTTTTCTTATGCTACCAGATATTACGTATTGTTTTATAGGATGTGAGAATGCCTGTCAACTTGGAGCTTTGTTTACCTCAATCGTTAGCAGTCTCAATGTAACAGTATGTTGTTTTGTACCAATGAATTGGTAGTTCCTATCGTCAAATATATCAGATTTCATTAATAATTTATAGAAAAAGCTTAAACGAAAAGATTGACGAAAATACAGTGCCAATACGATGTATTCTAAAACGGAATGATCTTGAGTAAGTTATTAAGATGAAAGCTTTAAAGTTGTTAAAACAAATTAAATAGGTTCTCTGCTGTCAGAGATTTTAAATACGGAGGAAATAAATAAATCGGCATACTTATTTTGATGTAGTTCTAAATTAAGCATGGTATCAAGTAAACTGTTCCTGATAGTTTTAATTAGAATAAATGGAGGAAATAATGATATGATGACCTCTCGAGCTACCCACAAGGTTTGTGATACTTTGTAGGTATAGATAAGTATTGTACTTCTGCATTTTTACTACTGAGTTTACCGAACGATATGTTCATAGTTAATATTCGGTCTTCTGGCATAATGATAATAATGGTAATAATGTGTGAGAGATAAGATCATACTCGCACTCTTCCTCTATCCTGATTCTGTGAGAAGGGAAGTTAACCGTGACAACTTGAGTTACACACACGAAACATGTCATACAACACCACTCTTGAAAGCCATATAGATTAACGGAGAGCAAATTTAACGCACATCTACGTATATTTATGAAAAAACAATAGTACTTCTCCAAAAGAAAATATTGGACTACTGGACAACATGAGCAGTTAGAAACCACTCAGGCTGATCTGCAGATTTCGCCAGCAGAATCAGAGTAATCTAAACACTAGACGACTATATATCTCGTTTAAGGCCGAGCCCATCATCGGTGTACCTAAACAAATTCAGCCCATTCAGCTCACTTGCTTCAGATCACCTGAATCCGGCTAGCTGGGTTGCATAGATACACTACTGATGAGCTCGACTCCAAACGAGTGAAACGACAATGTGATGCTTAGATCATTTCGATCTGGCTGGTAAAATCTACAAATCCACCTGTGTTTTCTAGCTACTCATGTTGCTCAAAAGTAGTATCTTTCATTAGTTGGTGACACTTTTATATCAGATATCACACACTGTGACCTTGGTGGAGTAAAAATCCTATTGACACCAGAGTTGAGCTGTCAAAAACCACTCAGCTGTGTGAAATATCAAAGTGGACTATACAGTCTGCAAACTAATCATGGTAGTTATTCTTCCGAAGGGCCCTATTTCTTAAAATTCTATCACTTAGTAGCTTAGTCCTTTTTCATATTCAAAGAATATCTTCTAGATAAAGGCTGAATAAATCTACCTCCTGCAAAACTAACAAAAGTAATTTGCTGATAATTGGTATGGTGATTATAAGCTATCATCCTCATAATACAATTTGAGTAATCTTGTAAGACATGTTTTGCATTGGCTTCTTATGAAGTTATAAACACTGAATTGATTGTACACAACACAAGTTTAAAGAAACAGTTTGTGTTATCTGTACACAGCTACAGAAAAAATTCATTGAATTAGCTAAGGAATAAAAAAATTACTCAAAAAACGTTTAATAATATTTGGTAGCTTTTTATCTGGATATAAATGTAAATATCAAGAATTACTTTATTTGTCACTACAACCACTTTCATTGTAAACAGCATTCTAATAAAGTTTTAGGTTCTTACTAGTAATATCTCTGGCTTCAGCTATTACAATTTTCTTCAATTAAATGTAGTCAATTAGGATGATACATAGTTATTCAAGGTCATACTTCGTTTACTTCACACCACAGTTGGGTTATTAGCTACTTAATAACTATTGTTTTAACCGCTTGTATTAACAGAACGCTACACATTCAATACTTTCTGAGACACTATAAACTAATTAAAATCAAAAAGTTAGTATATTTGATCTGCGTACAATACACATGTGGAATATTTCTGTTCTTCTATAAAATATTATCTTAAGTGAACTTCACATCTCAGCATTTCACTTAATGTAAATTTTCTCTTTCAGTAGCAAAAATTGAAAAATAAAAAATCCTATTAAATTTATTTTGTATTGTATATAAAGTTCACTTACAATTATGATGACATTTTCGTAGGTGAAACCCATAGAACGAGACCTTAGTGTTGCATATATATTTTTATTTAAGTTGTATTGCAATTCATTTTCAACACTTCAGTTCAAATAATTTTGTATTTTAGTCAATAGATAACTAAGTTGTAAATTAAATAGTGGTATACTTTCAACAGTCTAAACGACAGGTGAATATTGAAGAAAACTTAAAGAAAAATTCTTTCAACACAACTGAATAAGTAGTATTATTTGCATGGAGAAAAAATTGTGTTAAAAAAATTTTATCTTAGAGTTTCACCTATAAAAAAGATAATAACAGTTGTAATAAATGCCAGATGTTTATTTCAATAGAGAATAAAAAGACAGTAGCAAGTTTAATGAAAATACAGGACAAAACCATGAAATGTAAAAAAATATAAGAGATTACACAATTTAGTCTAGTTTTGCTTTACTTCTTATTTCCTAAAAGCTGTCGTCTTTAAAATGCCTAACATTTGGTTGGAAGGCAGTGAATAAGATATTTTTTTATTTTGTTTTACCAACTTTTCATTTAGCTGGTATTATATTTTTAACTGGTCCAGGACAGTGTCTATGGTACAAATGTAAATCATCCATTACACCATAACGACAAGGTGGTAGAATATAAGACCCATTCAGTGGTGAAGGAATTCTAGAAAAGAAAAGAGGGTAAGTATTAGTAGTAGACAAAAATGGAATCCAAACATTGTTACTGATTAAAAAGTACATGATTCCATTCATACCCATTTACATTTACCAATTGTTTTTCACTTATTTCTCCTCAATCTCTCATGAAGAAACCAAATAATTTCAAAACTCAACCAGTGTTCTAATAGAACACGATTGACAGAAGACGACTTATGATGCTTTATTGAAAACTGTAGGTTATTACTGTCCCCAGCAGGTTTATTTAAGCTCAGTAATGATATGTCTGATATCGGAGGTGAGTGACTTCGGTTCTCTTGTGAAGCTGTCTAAGTCCAGTTGAATTACTAAATTCGCTCAGACCTTGTAACTGTCGTGAACAAGACTTGTTCATTAAGTGGATATGTTATGAATTATTATAAATATTACCGTTTTGCTATTTGTGTTGAAAAGTCATCAGAAATAAAAACTCTCACGCAACCAACAGTTCGATTAATTTATAATAAACCAAATCTGTATGAAAAGCTTGAATGCCTATCATCATATTATGATGTCTTCAACAAAATTGTTCTAATAATAATTATGTATCTTTTAAGCGAAAAGAGGTGAGGTACTCTGCTATAATGTCTGCTTAATTGAAAAGTTAAGGGAAATGTAATCAGAAAACAGAATAATTCAAATCTTCTTCACTCCTCTGAGGCCATTGTAACCAAACACTTAAAACTAGATTTCTGTTTTCAAAAAGAATCTATCATTAATCCTCAAATACCCTAGTAACTCAAATTTTTTAATCTTCCATCCACTTGGTTACATCATTATCCTGTAATTAAATCTTTAGTTAACTCCAAACATTAACCTTTATCAATTGAGTTCTGTTCATTATAGTCTGTTAAATTTCGCTTTATGATTATTTCTAAATTATCTGCTCACTTACTTACGTAATTTCTTGCTTTGAGTTACAAAATATTTTGTTTTCTGTCTCCATCTAATTTTTTTCGAAACTTTAGTTCTAATCAGATATATATTTATGGCGTCATTACACAATATTTTGACTTTAAGTCAATTTGGAGAGTTTCCTTACTTCATTGTTTCATTGCCCCTTTTTGACTGAACTCACTAAACTAATGTAAATATTTTATTGTAATTTGTTTTTGTAAATATTTCAGGTTGTAAACAGCTGACGAGGATCACGGAAACAGTAAAATGGATACATATTATTCTACTTTAATGTTTATCCGTGTCCTTTTAAATGTAAACATACAAGCGGATAGCTGGAGGTCAGAGAGAACATCTTCTAACTACTCTGGTTGTTCAGCAGTATATTTCGTAAGATACCTCTAAATGAAATAACTTATACAGCATGCAGTTTAAGCAAGGTAAGAGAACCATGGTTAACTCTTTTCTTTACTGATAAAAATATGTTAGTCAGGTGACTGATTACTATTAACAGATGGCAAAACAAAGTGCTTTATTGATGATTAAACGTTCACAACAATGTATTGATATTTTGATAATAATATGATAAATGAAAAAGCCTAACTCTGGTGGTATTCAAAAATAACCGTTAAGAGGTTGTTCAGTATTTTACCACCACCAAAAATTATTTATCATAATCTTCAAGGTATCTAAATTTTTGTACACTGCATATCCAGACGTCAAAATAAGTTTCACTCAACAGAGGAATGAACATCCTAAATAGAATTTTAATCATTCCTGAGGCTTCATATCACTGAAGGGTACGGAAATGCGTGATATATGAACCGTTTGATTCCGACTCAGTGTCCCAATGGTCTGGTGCTGGCCACAGAACCTGAAGGTGCTGGTTTCTATCCGTGGTAGGGATGGGTCATGAGTGCGCATGGCTGAGAAGTCTCATAATGAAATGAAACAGCTACCCAATGCTCTTAGGGTTCTAGTGTTCCTCAAGCTGATGTCAGTTGATAATGAGTTCTAACCTAAAATCAATAATTTAGTCTCCATTGACCTTCAGATAGAAATATCTCATTTGTTCAGCCACGTAACTTGTATTCATCCTGAACCTTCTTATAGCTTGATGTTTAGACAATTACTTCTATACTTATTACATTTCTAATGAATTCCATGCAAATATTCAGCTGGCTGGACATGACAAATATGAATAGTACCGTTTTAAGAATATACCTAACTGATGTTAACAAATATGGATTCTACATTATTTGTTCATGAGTAAACGGTTACACCAAGGTTTCATTTGCTTATCTCAGTGTTTCAGTTTGATGAAGAGAACTAATATTCACTGTAAACTTTATTTGTTCGGTTACTTATCTATAACACTGTTTTTTCGAATATGAAAGCATCAGCTTGTGCTACTCTAGTTGTAGCATGATATTACTTATTAGGAATGTAAGTAACTAAAGTGAACACTAGTTATTTCTTATGACAACTAACAGAGAGAATGTATTAGTGATGAACTGTGCTAACTACAACTTACACCAGTGCATACGAGTAACACTTATTGTATGAAAGTCTGAGATAATATTCAGTTTCATTAAGTCGAATTAGGTGTAGCAAGGTTTGAAGCTCAGGCCCTTTACCTGAAAGTCAAATGTTTAGGCAAATGAACCAACTCTAATAAACTACTGTTAAGATTTAACCAAATGGTTCTACTTAAATTGGGTGTCCAGTGAAATTGAACAGCAATTTTAAGTTGCATTTTTATAAATCTGAGCATGTTTGAAATAAAATAATTTTAACATTTCGACTGTCAATTTGATTCAAATCTCTTCAGGTAGTTACTTTCATTTCAACAAATATAATTTATGTCTATAAGCAAGTGGAAAGTATGTTGATCATTTTGATCAGGTTCCACATATAGAAAGAATCCACTAATTATTAAGATCTTCAAAGTGACTTACTCTGCAGCTGTGAACTGACGTTTTCCTTCCAATAGTTCAAAGCATCTTTTATCATTTGGTGGACAGACACATGCACAATCTGAAAAAGTGTGCATTATAAATTTCAATGGAGGTATACATAGTCGATTACTACAGCTGCGTGTCATGATCCAGTGGATGTCAAAATGAAAAGTAAAAAGGTTAAAAATGTGGTTAATACGATATAATGTTATACGATTTGTAAAAAGAGATCTACACATCGAAGTAAGTAAACATCCCTGGAGATCCCAATTCATAAACGATATTCTTACGACGTTATTATGAGAAATGCCTTAACTTACCTGTGGTATAAATATTCAAAATGTGATTGATATTGATATGCATTAAATAGATCGTATAATATTCAGCACTGAATTCACTACTCAATGACAACCTTGAAATACAATAGCTTACTAAAGCAAATATAGTTGTTTATGAAGTGAATGATGATGAAGTCGTCCAGCAAAAAAAACTTTAAAACTTGGAGAAAACCAAGTAAATATCATTTTATTTGTTACGAAATAGGTATAAGAAGCATCTTGACCTGGTAACATTAATACACTTCGTTCATCTTTATCGGTGAAAACATGACTTAAAGTTAACGAAAGTGAAAGGTTGAACGGCTTTAATTTTCAGTCTAATAATCACTGAAATAATCAATGGGTTTCTTCTATTTGAGTTGTAAAGGTGCTTTTTACTTCAAATTAATAATGTTATTAACTATTTGAGTCGTTGCTAGGATGGCCTATAAAGTCACTTTTCTTAATACATAAAAATGATAATTAATCCAACAGATGAAAGTACCAATAAAATTTTAAAAGGTAGTTGAAGCCCGACTGTTGGATCAGCCAATCAGGTTCCAGTATTTCAGCTAGTACGTTAAATTTTTATACAGTACAGAGACAGTAGGTTGTCTTAACAGTTGGTAGGGGGGGGGGGGGCTGTAAAGTAACACCAGTTGAATAATGATCAAAAATAAAACCTTGAAAAACACAAACATCTGACCTCACACTTCACTTGTCTTAATTTTAAGGCAAGTTGATAATCAACTTTGTAAATATGATTCTCTACGAAGACCATAGTGTTGGCAATTTGAGACTCAATTTACAAGGTTTTACACATTGAGTCACATTCCATATGCCATGAACTTGAACTATATAGAAATCAAAATGGGTTACATTTGTTTAGACTCAATGTCTTTTAAATCTATATGTTTCACACCTACAAGCAAAGTAGTGATGATGCTTAGAATCAGCTTGGTGTGTGATGTACCCTGATGTAATTAGTCATGAGTGTTGAAAATCACAAAATAGTTTGGCTCGGTTGGAATGTTTGCTAAAAACATACAACAAACACGAAATTGACTTATTAGATTGTCTCTATTTTTTGGTCATTCTATTAGAATAATAGGCGGCGTTTCAGAGTAATGATGGCTAGTGGTTAGTAGTAGGATCCAGGAAGCGCGCTTCTTCTTACGTAGGATTTATCAGCTGGATGTACCTGTCTCTGAGTGAATGTTGTTATGGAACCTGGGACCTATCGCTTCAAATGCCAAAGCGTTATCCTGTAGGTCACTGAGTCACGATATCCACTTATTGTGAGGTGATTATGGTTTTTATGTTGCTGTTTGTAACCATCCTATCACTAAGCGGACAGAATTCATCAGTCGGAGTGTTTCAGAATCATCTATTTGCATTATTGTGGTGATATCATAGACAGTGCTTAGATATCATTTAGAGCATCATAACAGCTCTTAGTTCCGTTAGCTGTTTAACAATAAGTGTGAAACATTAGATAGATTTTTTATGCTTGTAGTCGGCCTGTTTTCAAAAGCTGATTCATATTGTAAACGCTTTCTACAACATCATGTAAAAACTTAATTTTATTGCATTTACCGGTTGGTTCACCATGCGAAAATCAAAAAAAAAATCTATACAAGTTCGTGCATGCTGTTAAAGATAAGACGCATAATAGCATGTTCACCTATGATGCGAATTTTCTGCTTCAGTTAGCATTTTTAGTTGTTTTATAATGCTCCAAGAGCATAAGTTGGAAAATTGCTGATAGCAACAGAGCACCATGATAACATTTTGATCTTATTTCCACAATTAGTTTCATACTTGCTTCTGAAAATTGGTCAAAGGAACATAAGCAAAGCTTATCAGAAATGAAATGTATCTGAAATCTTAGGAAGAATCTTTTTCATTTCTAAAGGAATGAGTCAATTATGCTGAATAACTTTTAAAGACCAAAACGAAAGATAGGTCGCTTATTTTTTAATGGTTATTGACGGTAGTAAATGAGTAGTACCTGAATTTACAAAGATTAGAAAGATTCAGTGTTTTCGATGAAATATTGCTGTTATCATTCCCATCCTACATAGTATCAACTTCTTAATGTTGACGACTATTTGGCTACGATAAAACAGTCATTCAAGTTACACACTGATACTTTTAATTTTCCGCTGATTTTTATAATAGACCGAATTGATCCACCTACCTTTGTATACCTTGAATAAACTCGTCAAAACAGGACAAATGACAAAACAAGAGCAGTGAGGAATGAAATTCAGTGGATATGTTTTCCCACATTTCTAATGGTAGACCGAAAACAGACAAGCTAAACATCGCACTAAGACTAATTGTTTCATTCACAGGGACCTCAGCATACAATCTTTTAAAAGAAATCTCCCAAAAACTAAAATATATGGTAGAATCATGGGACCATCCTGTCGATTCTTCCACACGATTTTTAGAAGCGCCCTAGCAGATACATATTGATAACAACGAACTGATTGCGTCTTCTGACGTTAAGGCTCTATACATCTCACATGAACTGAAACTGGCCAAGGATACAATAACTCTTCTTCTTACCCATGGCACACACTTCTAAGAACACATACAACTTCAGTGTTCAGGTTTGATGAAATTGACTGATTTATGCCTCACAACATATTTCCTGTTCAAAGTCAAATTCCACAAATAGGCAAAAAAGAAAACACCAGCAGGATCACGTATATCACGACTAATTAGAGAAGCAGTAGTGCAAAGATTTGAAACGGTAGGTTAGATATGTAGATGACACTTTTGTCATCAGTAAAAGGAAAGGACTGGAAAACGCCTACAAATTATTCAACAATATTTTCGACAACATCAAATTCGCAGCTGAAGAGGAATCAAATAACAAACCTGCATCATATGATCTTATCCTTAGAACGGAATCAGAAAGATTGGAAACTGAGGTATACAGAAAACTAATGCACATGGATCAAATACTCAACTATATTAGCATCTACCTAACAGAAAAGCAAACCAGTCGCATAAAAGCATTTTTCAATGAGCGAAGGCACACTATAGTACATGAATCTTGCTGAGTAAAGAATAAAACTATTTAATGACTGTTTTGCGGAAGAACGGCTTTGCAAACAACTTCATCGAAAGATGTTTGCATGATTCGTCGTTGATCAAGGGGCCAGCCTTAAAAACAAACAAATGGATTGTCTTGCCCTATATTTAGAGTGTCTCCGAGATCCCGACTAGATTACTGAAGCCTTTACGCATCAGTGTAGCTCAGAAGCCCACAGAATCTCTTCGCTCTTTGTTATACAAGCGAAAAGATGCAGTGGCAAAGGAATACAAAACAAATATCATCTACAAAATAAACGGCAGAAACTGCAAAATCACTAAATCGGACAGAGTGGTCGCACGCTTCGTATCCGTCTAAATGAACATAAACTACCAGAGAAGCGTCATGATATATCTATGCTCATATCAATGGATACAGACAACTTTGGACATGAATTTGACGTGTAAGATATAGAAATCCTGGATGGGGAAATACAAAGAATGCCAGAGAATTTTTGGAAGGTTGACATTTAGGTCAATCAGCGACTAACAGACATGTTAATATTGACCCAACCTATCAAGCAATTCAAACAAGTGTGGAGACAATAACAGGACTTTGGCAGAAAAAACCAGTCGCATACAAGGCCGTCAGGACAAGGTAGTAAGCCATATATCTCACTTCTTTCTGAAGTGCTGGTGATTTTGTCTAGAATGAGAGTGGCAGCGTCAGGAGTAAGCCATCCAGCTCAGAGAACACAAACCATCAAAATCATTCTACTGTGCTACAGTTATTCGCCATCATTTCAGCGTTTCTCTGAGTCTAAGCTTACGGAAACAAGATTGACACTAGTATAAAGATGCCGAAACCTACTGAATGATTGGATATCAATACACCAGTCTGAATTGGGGCAAAAAAATTGAAAATAAGATTTTGAGAAAGGTTGGAATGAAAACCTGTTGACTCTTCCCAGTATGAAAAGGACTGAATTCACCTTCATGTCGGATTCTGAACCATATAATTTGTCTTCCCTAAATGAAGACGATGTGAGTGTTTCATCAACGCTGATCACCGAGTATGTGTGGCGATCTTCGAAATTGATTTTAAATGCTATTCAGTTCGTTCTACTGTAACTAAGTTACTGTAAATATAGGTGTTTATTATTGTATGACTGAGCTTGATGGAACTGTTTATGAACTCTTGGTGTAAACGTTTAATATCATTTAAAATATATGTACAAACATCGCAATCCTTGTTCTTTCTACTTCATTCTGAATGAATAATTCTGTTGAATATTATATACGGATACAAGTTCCCAGTTCCATTTTTTAAACATCACGGTATTCAGCGATTCTGCACAACTACAGAATATAATCAGTGAACTCACAGAGGGGATGCATATTTTGATCTGATCACATTAACACTTCTGTTTATCTAATCTTACTATATCTAGTATAGCTCACTGAGGTGTGCGGTGACCATATATATATATATATATATATATATATATATATATATATATATATATATATATATATATATATATGACTTGTTCAGCCTAGATGACATTGTGTATAGCCTAATCAGTTGGTTAATTCCTTCACCAACATCCTATGCTTCAGGTTAACGTTGTTCCGTTATGAGTTTAACATTTAAATGTGGTAATGAAGCAGTATGGCAGTGAAAAAGTATAATTTGCAAAATGTCTTGCACTTTAGGTGACATTTTACAGATGTTTCACAGTAAATAGCACACGTAAACGCTAATTGTTTATCTTGATTTTAGCTACAATGACAAAATCGCATCAAAACAGGAAGAGATTTTTAAGAGCATGATTTAAAAGGTAGGAAATGCACTGCAGCACTTTTCTTATGTGTAGAATTGAAGAAATACTGTGCCTTAACATCATTCTTAATGCTATTCTAAGAAACTAGCATGGCCACCATCTTTTCATGCTTCAGTAATATCACAGCTACGATTCTGAATAGTTTAAAGTTCGCTTAGCCAGAAAGCCACTGTGATGAATTAATTCATTTTATGCGGACTAAAATAGTCAACAGCAAAAATAAAGTCTGATTAACAAGATAGATTTAATGAACCAAGGTGGATTACCTTCGCGAAAAACCTAAAAAGCAGATTAGTATTTCGAGAAAGCTGTATTCTGTTTACTATATCTGGGATTATGGTTACCTAGCGGAACAAAATTAACAGAGATAATGAGAAAATCACTATAAAACAGTGGTGGGGAACATGTTTGAGAAAACCTAAGCCCTAATTACTCAGCAGACAGCAGAAATACTGGCATCAATAGTATGTAGTGCCACACTTTCATAATTCAAGCAATGACAACATGCTATAAGAATTCCTGTGCAAGTGAGGATAAACAGGCAAGATAGTAAGTTATATAGTGTTGAAAAGTGGAAATAGATTGGGCATACACTTGGGAAGGCCGACTAGGGACATCACACGACAGGCCAGGTCGTCGAGTGGAATCAAAAGGGGAAACGACGAGCTGGGCGTCCCAGCTTAAGGCAACATGGAGGAGGTCATGTGAGGAAGAAAGAAAAGCTTGTGTGCAGTCGTGATGCCAGGTCCAGAAGACTGGAGAGGAGAGAGTGGAATGGAAGCGTGCTACTGAGGCCCTATGTTCCACTAGGAATCCGAGGAGAAAATAATAATAATATAGTGTTAAGAATAAAAAGAAATTATCACTTTTAGAAACATAATTGACGCCATAAGATTTGACTGGGAGAGGCCAAATTAGTATCTCTGTTCAGTTTGTTAGGTATAAGCTACTTCACTAAATGATAGGTAAGGATGAACAAGTGACAAAAAGGGGGATATACTCGTTACTTTAGAAATGAATTGCACTGAATGTAAATTGAAGCTAGATATCAAGTAATATTAGTTCACCATAAAGTTTCCTATTTTCTGAGTTAGCCAGATTATTCAGTGAAAACAGAAATTCACAAACTACAGTTTCATAAAAATTAATTGTAGGCAGTTTATTTTAACAGAATTATCTTTGGTACTGCTTACCGTGGTTGACATCCACATTTCAGATGATTTGTTAAGACAAGTAATTCTGTTGAATGTTTGAAATTTTCAAATGGTGCAATCTAAAATGTTAAAAATAAAAAATCCGAAGATAAAGGACCATAAAATAATGTCTTACATAAAATTAGACTGATCGACTAGGGGTAACAACGAATTCATGCTATCTGAACACGATTAGTAACTGAATCATGTCGATTTCATTGGAAATGTGACTTTTAAGGTCAGTAAACAACTCGCTGTTATGATGCAACATATATTTACTGTCATATGGTTGCAAGCAGAAGGCAGTAACTCCTAAATTTAGTCTTTATGATTCTGTGAGTTCATCAGAAAGTATATCCGCAGGCTCTGTGCAAACAATACTTATTGAAAGTTTAAAATTAACGTAACCTAGAAATGTAGCCTCAAAGATATTCAGACTCCAACCTAACGTTAACCATAGCACTGAAAACTGGTATCTAGAGCGAATGACGATCACCTCAATTTTAATTTTGTTATGTTTACTTCAAAAATCGGGAACGATTCATAGTACTGCAAAAATTATCACAACTTCACTTGTACATTGATAGAAAATATGATCGTTCGCGTTTTTACTAAGAATGGTTTATAAAAATAAATGATGTTCTTTTGAATTACTGGTTCTTATGTTAACTTTGAATGAAATACTTTGGAATCTTAACCTTTCTGAAATTTCATTTTGAAATGGTCTGAATTCCTATGTTGAATTTCCTGTCGTTAACTCTAGGGACTAGTTTTTGTAGGTCACGAAGATGTTAGCATTATAATCCCTCAGTGAAAGAATGGAAACAAGTTTCTTCATAAAAGTTGAATAGTTATGCATCATGTTAGGTTTAAAATTTTAGAAATCTCCTAAGTTAGAAATCCGTAAGTTACAATTTAAGTTACACTGGTTACCAAGACTTAGGAACGTATATTGAGTAACTGTCCATCGATAAAGTATTCTGGGTTTTAATGGACCACTTTGTTCAGTGTTCCATTTGGACATCGTATATTTATAAATTATGTCACTGGATCTTCATCAACTTAAGACTTTGAGTTTCTACGTCACCGTGGTAGTTTCCAAACATCACTTTATCACATTGGCACATTACGGAATCAGGTGAAGGAGAGTGAAATTAAAACGACAGTCAGAATTATGGGAAGCCATGGAGAAAAGGGAACAGATATTGAAGCATGCAGAACGATATGAGGACACGATTAAGATGTAGAGATATGATTGCAACCGCTTCACTGTGACTGGTCTTGAAGTTATGTAACTTTGTGTACGAAATCAATATTTTTAGTTGACTCATGGATTTCAACCCAGATCTCACATTTCTCAACATATTTCAAAACTAACCTTAAATAACCGTATTTTACTGTTCTTCAGTGTATTCAACGCTCAAAATGCTTTTAGAAATCTTATCATCACGTCTAGTAGTGAATTTTAGAGAAAGTCAATCGAACCGCTTGTATACACACTGAGATTTCATTAACAACCAGTCCACTAAGGTTGATACGTCTCCTCAAGTAAGCAAAGTAGACAACTCACTAGGTCAATTTACTCTATTGTTAGACTGGGTATCAACACATATCTGTTTGAGGCATCAGTCTGCATTTGATAGATATGTAAGCATCTTTGGTGTTCACAGTTCTCCATTTAACTGATCCAACAACTCTGATTTATGCCAACACCATCTGATTAAACCATGTCATCTGCAGACTCTAAATCAATAATAATCTATTAGACAGGACATCAGTTTGTTTCAAACAGAACAATGAAAATGAGAAATCTGCTTACACAACCTAAAATGAAATTTTTAAAAATAACACTTTATAGACATCTTAAGGGATGGTTAAACCTTGGTTTCAGTTGTATATAGTGTTAGAAATTACCTTAGTTATTATAATGACATGACATTTCATTCAGAAAAATCTTTTTTATTAAAATAGTTTCATCTGAAAGCTTTGTTTTCTTCAGTCTTCTGCTTCACATGATGTAACACTGCACAGCAAATACTCAGAAGATCAAAATTTGTTAACCAGTGTAGCACAATAAAATTGGCGTATCATTTCATATCATACATACTTCTAAATCTTTTCCTGTAGTTTCTAAATGTTAAAAAACTCGAAGTAGTTTGAAAACAGTCTGAAGAACATAACCAAATTTTATGATGTACAACTGGTCAGACAGCCTAAAAAGATAGAACAAAGATACATACTGAAACTGTACTTACAGAATCGTTAAAGATTCCCCACATGGTGTAAAATTTATGTAGCTCAGGTGGATGATCTTGACCGTATTGTGTTCTCTGAGCTAGGTTGTTTATTCATGAAGCCTTCATCGCTTTCCTAGACGACATTATCAGCACTAACTTTAGTATGAAGTGAGCTGTCTGTATCTTTCCGTGAGTGGTTTAGTAGCTTGTCCATTTCAAACCAACCTTATTCAAAAGTTCGACAACCAGATCGATAAAACCTCGAATAAACTCTTCAAAGAAGAAGAAATAACAAACCAAGACAAATGGAGAATGTAATAAAACGGACTTTTCTTTCCTCAGGTCTACGACAGACCAAAACTACACAAACCAGGCATTCCTCTATGACCAATAGTCTCACTACTGGGAACTCCAACAAACAACATATCAAGAAAACTCTGCAGAAAACTGAAACATCTTATTCATGCTTACATTCTATCAACTCATTAACAGAATTCTCAGAAAAGATTGAAAGCATTGATATAGAAACGATGAACTAATGGCACCCTTCGATGTCACAGAATTATACACATCCATCGAACCCCAATCGACCAAGCAAAATATTTCCCTCCTGCTAAATGAAGACACAAGCCTCTCAGAACGCACAAAACTTAAGCGTTCAAGTCTGATGGAACTGATCGACTTTTGTTTGACAATAAACTTCTAATTGAATGGCAAGATATACAAACTGTTGAAATGAACTCCAATAGGATTACCGGTATCCGGACTGATTGCAGAAGTGGTGCTGCGAAGATTGGAAGCCATTATTCTACTTGTCATTAAGCCAAGGATTTGGATTCGCTATCTAGATGATACTTTTGTCATTGGTAAAAAAGATGATATAAAAAATACTCACAGTTTGATCAACAACGTTTTCAATGACATCGAATTCACAATGGAGAAAGAATCAAACAACCAACTAACGTTTCTGGATGTTTTAGTCAGTAGGACAAATTCCGGACACCCACAAGTACAGGAAGCCAACACACACTGATCAAATCCTCAACTACAGCAGCAATAACATACAAAGTCAGTTGCGTTCAGACTCTATTCAAAAGAGCGAGAACACACTGCATTACAACGACTTCACGATGAAACGAAGAGAATTACTTGATGTCTATCCTAAATAAGAACAGCTACCCGCGAACTTTTATCAGAAAATGACTATCCCGTACATCACCAACTACAAAGTCATCCATAGAAATCAACAAACACATCATCCTACAGTATATAAAGAATGTATCAGAAATCAGAACGAGATTACTGAGACCACTTGGAATTAGTGTGGCTCTTAAACCAACAAATTCCCTCCAAACACTATTATGCAGACCGAAGGATATAACAACCAAAGAAGACAAACCGAATATCATTTACAAAATCAACTGCAATAACTGTAGTCAACAACTTGATTGAACAGTGTGGTCGCCCTCTTCACCTTCGTTTATATTAGCACCAATTGGTTATTAAACGCCACGACATTTCATCACTCACTTCAATTCACGTGGATAACAACTATGGACATTAATTCAGTTTCGACAATGTAGAAATTTTGGACAGGAAGAGGAAACACAAAGAATATCAGAGAATCCCAAGAAGCCTGGCAGTCAGGTCAGTCAGTCAGCAATCAACAAATGTACAGACATAGACCCAACCCATCAATCAATGAGAAAAACTGATAAACGACAGAAAGATTTGAGGTGAGGCAGAGGAACACCCAGAGGGAAAATCTGTACGGTCTTTCAATGACACGATAATCAGAGGAAACAGCCAACCACAAACTAGTTCTTCAGAATAAGCTACCAAATCACTCACCGAGAGATATTGACAGCTCACTTCATACTGAAGTTAGTGCTGATGATTTCGTCTAGAAAGATGATGAAATCTCCACAATTTAACAACTCAGGTTAGATAACACAATACACAACCAAGATTCCCTGTTTGCTTTTTGGGATACATTATTTACACATCCCTGTATTACATAGTAGTTCTACTTTTCTACTTATACCTCAATTCTTGACACATTGTTTTGAGTTAATCTATTTTTGTCTGCTCATTTAACAACATTCAAATATAAGCGAAAATAATAGTGCTATATGGGTATCTCATCAAAATAAGAAACCTGTAGACAGAACCCCAGAGATCAAGCGATCATTTAAATGGTGGATGAATCTAGTATGGGTGTAATCTTTCCCACGTAGATAATAGAAGACCATCTAACAGAAGATATTCACTACATTTTATATTAGTGAATAAAATTAGGGTGGCTGTTCTATTGGGTTCTAAATAGTCAAACAGAAAAATCTTGTAGATGGCCGTTCTATTGTATATGAATAACGACAAACATAAACATTTATTGTTTATTCAGTAAAGGCTAAATTTAATTTTTTTTTACAAATGTACACACCAGTAAAAGTGCCAGTAACACTTGATTATGCTTGCTTTCGAAGCGAGTTATTTTTTTCCATTGTCAAACTCACACTTATTTCAAGAGGTAGAAATGAACAAATAAATTATGAATATCATGCAATGCCATTAACCCATGGATGTACATAAAATGGAAGTTCTGCTCGTAAACCTCAGTCTACAAAAAGTTGTGATAAGAATAAAGAAGCATATTAGAAAAAAAGGACCTGGTCTTTTGTTTATATTATCTTTTTCATACTATCTGTCTACTTTTTAAGCACGGTTTTCTTTGCAAAGCACAATATTCTAGACAGTATTTTTAATAACAGCATTTCCCCTAGTATAAATATTTTCCCTTTATTGAACAGATAAAACAATAAGTATTATGTCTTAACCGAAAACCAGAAATGAAAAACCAACTCCAGTTGAACCTCAAAAAGGTGTTCTGCTGTAACAGTTAGTGAAAACCGACGGATTCTTAATATATAATTAGTTCTTTCCAGTTTGTAAATTCTTCAACAGCGCTTTTTTGTTTGAAAATATCAACTTTATTGTGTTGAAAAGCCTTGACCATTATGCATTTCACCTGTTATTCACCTCTTTTTTTCAAGCCGATACCAAATATGTATTCTCATTTGGTTTCCAAAATAAAGGGATAGATTCCTTGATTATAGGAACATCTCAGTTAGGTAAATAATTCATATAAAAATGTAAACTGAACCGGAGGTAAATCAAGTGATAAACTTCTAGACAAAATGCAATGAAGGTAGAATACACTAAAACCATAGCTGCATCTAAGTCGAAAGACATTGATGACTGCGGAAATCGCTTCACTGCCTTTGAATTGGTCTCTTGTTTATAAGGCTTACTGTTACCTATAAACGAACACAGATTTTGCTCTTTGTAAGATAAAATAGTCCTACACAAGAAGATGATGGGGAGTAGTAATGGGAATAGTACCTAATATAACAAGCCACTGAAGAAAACATTCTCATTATTATCTGTCTATCTCTGAGCAAAAAGATCGTTCACAACACTTCGTCAATTTTAACTGTATTATATCTCAAGTACATAACTAACTGTCTCATCGCTAACTTCCATAAGACAAAATTTTACTATATAATGTTCTGAAACACTAAATGTAAAAATACAGTTTCCGTAAGGAAAAAAGCCTGTAACGAATGAGAACTAAGCCTGAGTCAATCATTACTCAACCTTGCTCGTTCTCTTTTTGAGAAGAGTTATCAATTTCTGCTTGTATTTTTATTTGCCGCCCAAAACTGCATGTTTATGACGTTTATTTACTTGACGGTGAAATACTCAAATAGCTGTATTAGTAGCGTCATACGAATTAGGATTAATATTCCTAAAAAATTCGGTAAGCATAAAGTAATGTGCCAAGAAGCAAGTGTAATCAGATCATAAAAATCTTCCTCTTCCCCTTTGAAATCTCTGATAAAAATTACTAAATTTGTGAAATCTTATGAGGTGTTACGACAATCCTCAAGGAGTTGAAAATAGATTTAAGCCTGTTCCCCTCTGACATCTGAATCAATCTGAAACATCATCGGCGGTCACAGTGCTCCAGATTCACCTTACTGACAAGAATAGTGTAGACGATTTTGTTGCTAACCTGTTCAAAAATTGACTGATTATTCTACTGCACATCGCCCAATAGTGGCTATCAAAGTTATAAATTAATACTATTGAAACTTTTGACTCAGGGGTTACAATTCACGTTTAGTTCATAAGGCCTCATTCAAAAGCCACCTTAACTTTGAACGACTGATCGGTTGTCAAACAATCATCAGATTAGTTATGCTAGTCTAATCATTGATGGAGCACCAGTCGCTCACCTAGTAAAAGTTTTTTTTAAAATAGGAGGCTTTATCATTCAAAGTCTTATATCCAAAAAATCAGTACACAACAAACACGTTTTTCATATGTAGAATCAAAATGAAATGTAAAAGGATCACTCTCTCTACTTACCTGCATTACAGCAACTGCATAAGTTCTTAAAGAAACCTTTAAAGGAAGACATTCTTCTTCAAGTGTTTCACAATCACATGATACATGTTGGTTTCTGTCAGGTAACATATCCAAGTAATGATCATCATAACTTGTATAGCTGTTAGGTGGTGCTGATGAAAACGATGTTAAATCTGATTTCTCGTATTCATATTCCTCCTCAAAGTTTTGAAAAGGATTGAAATAATGGTTACAACGTGAGTTTTCTGGTTGACCACATCGTTGAACATGTATACCACGAGGTATTATCAAAGCGGTATTGTGATGTTGTTGTTGATTTTGTTGATTATGATAAGTGAGACCCAGAAGTGCTTCTGTGCATAGTGTTTGATTTTGTGGCTGACAAGACACCATTTTGAACTCTTGGTAGCTATCGAAAGCTCTTCTTAATTCCTCTTCTGAATCTATTACATAAACGTAAAGTAAAATTCCCATCATACAGATATTAAGATTTTATTGTTTATGACCGCATCCCTACCACAAATAAAGTAAATACAGGTAGTCTTAGATTTCAATTTCAGTGAGACTAGACTGTCTTACATTACTTGTGAGTAATGCTAAAACTTACAGGTTGTTGAATACCTGAAGCCTTCCAATGTCAAATAACTTTAAGTATTATACCATGCTGAATAAAGTAGAACAATCAGTGCCACAGCAGAAGTACTTTAGGTTCAACTAAGTACTCCATTACTGATCTTATTTATTATAATGTTTACCTCATTCACAATACTGTAAATATATGTGAAAAGTCAGAAAATAAATGAGAAATATTCAATAGCCTAGCTGATGGCATTCAAAAGAATTTACAGTTGATTTTGATGACGTGATGTTTCATAATCATAGGACTTTTAATCAATTAGGATTTTCAATTGAAGGTTGGTTTCTGTGTTTTAAATAGCGGAGAAGATTAGTCTAATTGATCCGTAAGAATTATTGTTTCCCGTAGCATACTTGTTCCTCAGGTTAATGTGACAAGTGCATTTTCTGTGGTTTTAATAATTTACATACATACATAGAACTTATAAGCTTGAAATCAATTAGGCAAAAACATTAGTTAGACTAAGTCAATCAGATCACAATATTTCGAAACTTTCAGCATATTTCGAATACCAAATATATCTTTGGTCAACAACATTCTTTTTAAAAATAAGTTTCAATCACTTCGATTTCAGTTACACCATCCTGAAACTGATCTCAGCAGAATAAGTATAAGTCATTAGTATAGATTTTAGGAACACAGATTAAGAAGCCCATTACAGATGATCATAGACGAAATTAGTTAGTGATAATTAAGGTAGACCTATGTTATGTTTGCGTTACGTTGACGATCGGCTTTTATTTGTTTCTGAAAACAAATTAGTTAATAATTTCATGAGATATCTGAAAGTCTTGTTGTGTAGATTGTTCAAAGAGCCTCACACCGTCTGCTTAATATCTTCCAAACATAGCAGTCAAACGTTTTCATACCTATTATACATCTACTAAACTGTGTTATTCCTAATAAAACAGAAGGTCTTGGAGAGAGATAAACTGCCCATATTTTAAGACAGATATATTCCGCTATTTTTTACGGAGATTAATCCATCTGCAAATATAAGTCGTGTTCCCTGACATCCTCATCGCCAAGCCAGCATTCACTGCTAAAGTATGGTTTCTTTTATCGCAAATAATCTCATGATTGTTCATTTAAGAATGGCAGGATACTGGAGAAAGAGCTGTATCACCAGTACGGATGAAATAAATCACAGATAAAAGTAATCTTCACCGCTAAGTTAATATAGGATCCAGCAACTGCGCCACAACCTATTGAGGATGTCAGCGAAAGATGTTGATTTTATCTTTTTAAAATCTAATGTTTCTTTGGCTTTCTGAATCAGTATTTAAAACCTTATTATATGTGATTATGAAATAATGACTACTCAGGTTAAATTTTGCCTTGTTACCCTACCCTAAAATTAAGTAGCAACTGTAGTAGCGGTTTGTATACACTTGTTATATCAGTCTACCTGCGATTCCCGCAATGCACTAGCTTGGAGAAAGTAGTGCATTAGCCAGCCAAACCTAGCTTTGTTGATGAAGTGAACACAGTGGAACACCAGTCGAGAAAATAAGTATGAATTATTTGCACAGTTTAGCTTTTAAAACCCACATAATCACCATAAGATGCATTCTGTAATTGAGATATGGATTTGTTCTACGTTTAACATGCACCGTAACAGTAGTAACAGTTTTGACTGAAATTTTAAATTTGCATGCCCCATTGTTCACCACTATATTTGTGAACATCTTTCTCCACCAACATTAACAATATCTACTTCAACTGCTACTATCACACAATATTTTATTTCCCTTTCATAATGCTCAGTAAGCGGTATTCACTAAGCCTTCTACGTCAGCTGTTTAGGCAGATGAGAAGGACACATGGTTGTCACCGTTTTCTCATGGTATAATAATGGTACTAATAAGAAACAATGCGGAGTACACTTTCATACAATTTTGAAAGCTCTAAATGAATTCTGTCAAACTCGTATGCACTGTCAGTACAGTTAACAGTTTTTACTGTGTATAGTGTTGAATGATTAAGTACAATCTACAGGAAAGGGTGGACCAAACCTCAGTTACTGTTTACGTTTCATGGTAACTAGTATGAATAACAAAAGTGATACTAATACAGAGGTTCGAATGCCATTCTCTGGGCATAAAACATATCACCAAGATATTTTGGTCGCAGCCCAGGTAAAGACTTACTGTAATTTATCATTTACCAGCTATGCATGGATGTAACAAACTAAAGTTTATCTACAAATTTAGTGTCAGATCCCCAGTGTTTTAATATTTCCTGACACATAGAAACTTTTCCGGTTGTCTCCCACAGTACATGTTCAATAAATACCAAGTATCAAGGATTCAAATTAAGAATTAATCATGTTTATTCAAGGCTCCGCTTATTTTCTGGTGGCTATTTTCATGAGTTCCTCTTTACTGAATGCAGATCTTTTAAAATAGCGTCAATTATTTGGATAGTTGGTGTAACTTAATATCACTGAACATTTTCCCGTTCAACACAGTACTGCATAAGAACAAAATGAGAAGCACATTTGAATAGAGATGAATGACCCTACTATATCAAAAAATATTCTTATCGTAGTATTCCATAAATACTCAACACTCAGGTGTATTGTTGTGTTTTTATACATCAGTAAAAAGACGTAGAAACCTCATAAGAAGTCACACATCAAACGAAAAAAGCATTACGTCAAACATGAGTGATCATGAAATCTCATGTAATATAATTATTAATGAAAATCTTTAATTAATATTTGGCGAATAATCTTCACATGGCAGCTTGGTGGCGCGTATTCAGATCAACATATGAGAAACTGAGCTTGTAATAGACCAGTTAATGGATCCTTGGTGTCAAACCTTAGAGTGTGACCAACAGGTGGCTTTTAACATTTTTCCTATGTTTGATAAGAATCAACGAGATAACGATGTGAATATTTAAATAGCTGAAAACCCCCTGTATTCCAGACAGATCTAAGTCCGCATGGCAACTAATTTATTAACTGTATAGCCACTCATTCTGCAATTTATAACTTTTGGTTTACAATCTTAGTGGATCATTTACGATAAGGTCAGTAACTTGGTTGTCAAAACAGACAAACAGAAATGAAGTGAGACTATAATTATTACGTGACTTACATGCATGTTCCTTGTTATATCTTTCAGAATCTGCACTTATCTCATCTGTCGGTGTATTCTTTGACAACTGCTTCTTGTTTCTAGTTAAAACACGAGAAAATTCTGTCCCCAGGTTTGTTTTCAAAGAGTTTTGTTCATTAGTTCGGCTATCACTAGAAATAATTGCACGACCACCACGATTATTTGGTTTTCGTAATCTTAAGCTGTCCGAGAAAATACCACCACCAATACCACCGGAGAACTGTATATCATTTAAACTTAAAGATGATGTTGAGTCATGGATTTTATGATGTTCTGCAAGCGACTGAAAATCCAAAGGTGAGTGAATTATATTGCCATTGTGTTCCACTTTATTACTATTGTTATTACTATTGTTTTTATCATTGTTGTTCTTACTACGTGATTTAACGTCTTTATTACCGATAATAAGTTTCTTGAAATCATAAAAATTTTGTGCATTTTTAAATTGTTTCGCTTTTTCATTTGTTAGCATAGTTGAAAAATGTCTTAGATAACGATGGTATTCATCAAGACGTCTGTGTTCTTGTTTATAACGTAGTTTTTTTAATTTCTGTTCACGTTGCGCTTGTATTTGTTGCATAACTTTAAAACTTTCCCATTCACATATTAAATTAAATGCCTATGGAAATAAATTTATTTTCATTATTTGTTTAGCTTAGAAATGCAAACAAATATTGTTCTAAACTACTGACATTATCTAAAAGTAGTTTAAATGCATTATGATTGTTTAACTGAGTGAGAGTAAAACAAAAATAACTTAATTTCTATGCATTGAGATAAAAATCAAAATCTCATTGATGATAAACAATATATCGAACTTAAATGCCAATCAGTACTCGTTCCTGTAAATCTAACTATCAAAATAATTATCTTACGAAGGTTAAAATAGATTACTCAGTTAGTTGTCCAGGTATGCAACCAAAGAGTAGTTAAAGTTCAACCACTAGAATTCATCGGTGAATGATGTGATAGTCAACAAAATATAACATCGAAGACACCTAGTTTAAAGACAGAGTAAATAGACTGAATGTTTGAAACAAATACATGAGATCCCTAGGTGTCAAATCTTTGTTTACCAACGTCCCTCTAATGGAAACCGTGGATTATATTTTTTAACAGGTGTTGGAAAGGAAACTATACACTGGCATTCTTATTATACAGTTGAAGGAATAATTGCGAAGATGTACAATGAATATCCAGTTCATATTCAACAGTAATCTGTTAAAACAAGTTGATGGAGGGGCTATGGGATCTCCACTAGGCCCCATATTTGCAGATATTTTTGGAAAAATTAGAAAACGATCCTTTGAAATATGAAATTGTTGATATTGATTTGTATTTTTATTACGTGCATAGTTTTCCTGGTCTTTGATAAGTACAAATGTATTAATTCTATTCTTAACCATTCTAACCCTACTCGCCAATCGGTTCATTCTATATATTAAAATGAAATCAAAGATTCCATTACTTTTCTTTATTGGCTAGTGATAAGAGAAGATGGCTCTATGCTGAGAAGTATCTATAAAAATATGATGTCCAAGGCACAGTGTACGTACTTTCCCAGGTTGTGCCGACAAAGTACGAAAGTAAGATGATCAGATGCATACAATTTAGATTAAGATTGATTTGTTCCAATAAGTGTATGGAAAAAGAACTATTGTATATCCATGATATTCTGAGTGAAAACAGATATCCTGAAAAGTTCATCGAAGCTAACACGACTTAGAGTGGTCCCTAACAAGAACTGATGACAATATGGAAGAACCCTTTGTTCCTGCGACTGTAATACAAGAGAGATGCTGCAAGTGATATACTATCACAACGCCTAACTATGACAGTCAAAATGACGTTTATTGCATGTCGACTTTGTGTATCATCCAGTAGTCCGTCATTGCTCACTCCGAGAATAAAGCATAGCCTGCCTTACCCTAGTTTTTCATCCTGCATATATCAGTTTAAGATCTTCTATGGAAATGGTTACATAGGACGTATGACTAGGCAGTTACGACTCCGGATACGAGAGCATTTACTAGCTTAATTCATAAAAAGCTAAGTGAAAGTGGTGAAAAGTTCAGTCATAGCGCACCTAGTAGACACAGGGGATCACATAGATCCTAATAAGTTCTCAATATCATTCATCGTATTCCATAAACGATATTACGTGTAGCTCACCAACGCCTGATCAACAATATTGGAGGCTGTCACAACAAGGTTGATCAAACCTGAACTATGGATTCAGAAAGAACATGTCCAGGCGTTATTATTCCCTTGGCCTTCAGTAAACTGAAGTCTTTTCCTTCCTTTTTCATTCATTATACTTTTGTTCACCATCACATCATTCACTTGTATATGTGTCTAATCAACACTGACAAATTTAAGAAAGAAAAGTTGATTTCTTACATTCCTTAAATCTCACTCCATTTTAAAAATGTATCTACCCCTAACTTGGCTTGATTTCATGTTGTATCATTTTATCAATGTTTTGAAAATCTTTGGTTGTAGCATTAAAGTCAAAATTCGGGGGAAATGAAAGTTTATTTTCATGCTATAAGCTACTACAATGTGAAGCTTCACTAATGCATGTTTCAGTTACTTGCGAAATACTTCTAAAATGCGTTATAACTGATTGTTGAAAAAATAATTTTTTTTGTGTTATCATTAACACACACACACACACACACACACACACACAGTGTCTATGTGAAAAGTTGAGGATTCATCTGGTCTCTTAAAAATGACTGCGATTTTGTGCTGCAAGACAGATTTATGAATTTTGTTTATTACACTATTGGTATCTGACTATTTTACCCTGTGTCTGTTAGGCAAACTGTAATGAGAAAAAATATGAATAAAAATTCGGTTATACTTTGCTTTCCGTGTTTATTATTTGTAGATTGTTGCTATACAAATTTGTTGATCAGTCCAATAGTTTGCAGGCTTCATATATCTGAATTATTTCAGATTCTCGTTTTACTTTGCTACCTTCTTGAATAGAATTTCCAACCAATCAGTTGGTTAGATGATCGATAACTATGTTAGAAAATTGCATCAGCAATTGAATGGAAGCAGAAACATTTTGGTGAATGTTTCATCGCTATCTTATCATTTTTAGATCCCAACTGGGAACTGATAGGAAACAAATTCAAGTCTAAAGTAGCAATAACTGCCTTTACAAATACAAAAAAGCACTGAAAAGCTGAAAATTACCTTTTAGTTAAATTAATTAAGGCACCTGGAGATATACCACATACTTTGAATTTTAAAAACACTACAACATATGGTTCTGTGATATTTTACTATAAATCATTAGTGGACTGTGAATAGTTTCTTTTAAAAATACCAGATGGTCTCGTATTCGAAAAATATCCTTTACACTCAACTACATTTTTTCACCGAGATGATACATTTATTCAAAGTTTTGTACTGGCCTCTGAATACTGACACCATTAAAAGATTAGGTGAAAATCATTTACAGGTGGGAATTTCTGGGGAGTTGATTGATTTTGAAACAGGTTTCATTAGCTAAAGAAACAATGAATACCGTGAATTGTTGAACAGTCTCTTTGATATAACTCAAATCACCTGAGTAGTGTGCATTCACAATCCCGTGATCATTTAAACCGAGGGTTGAACGGTTCCACAATGGGCATGTTAATATTCAAGCACTCAGTTTGAATTTATGAGCTCCCTTTTTCAAACTTCTTTCATTTCGTCATACATCACAACCATTATTCAAAGCTGCCTCATTCCACAAGTTATGGATGATAGCAAACTGCAATCAACGCCAAAAACTACTTCAGTATATCCACTCACAATCGAGGAGAAGTATAAGTAATCGGAAGTCAGTAAATCACAACAAACATGGAAGATGCTTGCAACGATGATGAGATTTGATATGATGGTTGGGATAAAGATAGTGGATAGATGCATCTGTGCCACTGAAACAGATTCGCAGTTATATCAAAAAAGTCTTTGATCACCGATTTCGGTTATTGTACGGATAATAAAATGTAAATCTGCCATTCCCTACATAACTCAGACTATAAGTAAACGATCTCATGAGCTGATATCACATTTTAGTTTGAACACGGTTAACATCTTTCCAACCTAACCTTCTTCGGCTGGCGTTAAATATCAGGGTTGCCGGTGGATAGACATACGTAGCACATGTATCAGTGACCCGAGTCGACCAAGGTCCGACCCTTACCAAGTGACTTACTTCTTTTACCTAAGACTCTTCGTTACTAGTTTGTTCGTTCCGTGACACACCACTAATGTTATGGAGGAAACAGTGTTTGGACACTTGGAGCCTTTTCATGGTTTTTACCTTTTCTTGGCCCTGTTACACAGTCATTTAGTAGGACAGAGTAAACTCCTGAGAAATACTCTCGGATATCTCATTGGCACCATAGGTAGCCTAAGTTGGCAAGAGGTAATGGAAAGTTTTTTATCTCTGCATAGAATTTATTGGTCACTTCCCCCTCGGGGTTCATCCGAATCCCAAAGTAATTGAAATGGTCAACGTGCTCAACAACTTCGCTTCCTTTAGATCAAATGGAACATTACCGCAAGCCAATTCTGGAGCAGTAGATTGCTTTTGGGTGATTAGAAACTCATCGTAAACACTTTTCAGTTGTCACTTAGGTTATCCACAATACTATATACACTCTCAGCTTGTTCAGCTTAAATGACGGTCAACTGTTGGCTCTAGGTCTAGCAGAACGTCTTCTGTAACTAGGTCGATCCCTTTAGAGACATATCTTAAACAAATATTAATAGAAATTTGGAGTGGATATGTTTAAAAGGTGCTACGAGATATAGAAAACTCACCTGGTAACTCACAACGGGGGCTTGGGTAAAAAGCCTTTAGAAGAGTGATATACTCACCTGTCACTTTTTCAGTTACAGAAACTTGCAGAAGCCCTCTCTACCGAATAGGTCGAATGTCACCATCAGGTTTATATATGTGATGTTCAGTACTGGTAAATAAGCTTGAGTGTTTCAAAACCTGGCGGGTGGTGGCAATCTGATTATTACACTAAAACTTAGACTGTAACCTGCCCAGTCTTCTCAGATTAGTGTTTTTGACCTCCATTCAGGCGTCTAGTTACCACAGAATCTAGAATCTTAGACATTATATTCATCAGACTGATACCTCAGTTGATATCACAAGAAGCTTAATCTCAGAGACTTAGCGCGTTTTGTAAAGCATTTCCAACAAACTATAGACATTCATCAACAACTGCCTACGCTAGCTTCATACTGAAGCTCAGATGGCCAGACAGAATGAGCAACAAGGAACTCTGGGAACAAATCAACCAAGAATCTATCGCCCAAGCAATAATATGCATAGGAAAGTGGGTACGGATTGGACGTACAGTGAGAAGACCATTTGGGGACATCATGCACTAGACCAAGCCGTGTATATATATATATATATATATATATATATATATATATATAATTTTATTATTATTTGTCCTTTGGGTTCCCAGTGAAAAATAGGGCTTCAGTAGCACTTGAGTGTTTCACTCTCTACTCTAAATTCTTATTAACCTGTCTACACGACTACCCAGAAGAGTTTATTCCTTCCTGATACGGTCTCCTCCATGTCACATTCGGTTGACCAACTCGTCGTTTCCCACTCGTTTTCCATTTGACGGGCTGGTCTGGTGCATGATGTCCCCAAACAGTCTTTCACTGTACGTCCAATCCGTACCCACTTTCCTATGCATATTATTGCTTGGGCGATAGATTCTTGGTTGATTTGTTCCCAGAGTTCCTTGTTGCTCATTCTGTCTGGCCATCTGAGCTTCAGTATGAAGCTAGCGTAGGCAGTTGTTGATGAATGTCTATAGTTTGTTGGAAATGCTTTTCGTAACGCGCCAAGTCTCTGAACTATACAGGAGCACTGACTTGACGTTGGTGTTGAAAATCCGGATCTTGTTGTCGATGCTGGATGGAGTGCAGTAGATCTCCAAACTGATTTGAGAATAATGAAGGCCTGTCTTGCTGTCTTTCCGATCCTGGCTTTAACGTCGTCATCTATGCCACCTGCATTTGAAATGAAACTGAATAGGTAGGTGAAAGAGACAACTTGCTTTAGATTTCTCCCGTTGATGGTGATTGGTGCTTGTTGTTGTTGGTTGGGTATCTTCACCATCTCTGTCTTCTCTACGTACACCTGAAGGAAGTTCTGTCTTCGTTGCCTCTTCCCTCTTGTCAACTTGTTAGTTTTCGTCTGTAGATCTTCGAGTTTGTGCGTTGAGACATTAGACATAAATAATCATCGGCGAAATCCAGATGTTTTAAGGTCTTTTTATCGGTACACCCAGAGTATGCCCATCTTCTCACAGCTCGTCACAGCTTCTTGCATGATCTAGTCCAGTCAAGTCCAGTCCAGTTGACCACAACCAAGAAGATCACCGGTGATAGTAGGTTGCAACCTTGTCTTACTCCTTCCTGTCTTCACTTCAAAGGTGTCAGTGAGCTTCCCATTGTGTTGTGAATCACTTGGCATGTAACATCATATAGTATACAGCTGCTGTTGAATGAGGTTGATAAAGATTTGTGGTACAAAAGCGTAGTGTTGAAGCAGTTGCCAAATTACTACTCATTCGATGCTGTCGAAGACCTTTTCAAAATCCATGGAGTTGAGGTGGTGCATTGACTGCCATTCTATGTTCTGTTTTATGTTGATGTAATGGGTAACGTTGCAGTTTTATGCGCACATGATTCATTCTTCCTGACAGTCTGTCTGTTCCGGTCGTAATTTTGAACGAAGCATGATGTGGCATAGTATTTTTCGTGTGGTGGACAGGAGCATGATTCCGTGCCAGTTCTTGCAAAGACTTACGTTGCTCTTCTTTGGAATTTTGACAAGTTAGCCCTTCTTCCAATCGATGGGCAGGTACCCTCCCTTTCTTCTTTCCAAACCTTCTGCATTGGTGGTGTGAGCATGTCCGCTGTTGTCTCTGTGTCTGCCTTCAGTACTTCTGGTGGACTTCCATCTAATCCTGCTTCTTTCCCAGATTTCAGCAACTTTATGGTGTTCAGGACTTCTCTTCTGCTTTTATCAGAGTGCTTGCATTCACTGATGATTCTGTAACTGGTGTTAGTATTTCTCGACGAGTTGCAGGTGGCAGTGGTGGTGCTCGATTCAACAGTTTTCTGAAGTGGTCAGCCTATCATTTCCTTTGTTCCTCCATTTTCATAACTAAATTTCCTTCACTATCTCTCATTTGTGTTTATCTCTTCCCTCCCAGACAGTAACCTGGTTATTTGATATAATGTTGTCAAGTCTCTCCTACCACCAGCCTGTTCTGCTCCACTTGCCAGTGTGTCATAGAAGTGTCTATTATTCTTCCGCGTACTATTCTTCACTTCTTTGTCCGGTGTGGTGTTTTACACGTTGTGTTCAGTCCTTCTTTTCGTTGTCCAGCCTTGCACTACACTGCATTGGTTCATCTTCTGATTCACCACCTTTCACTCCTCTCCCCAATAAGCAATCATGTATCCATCGAGATCCATTCCTTATCTTCTTTCTTCTTCCTTTCTAACACAGTTATGCAGTTTTCTTTCCACATCTCTTCCAAAGAGTTCCAGTGTTCTTCCATGCAGGTTTCTTCAGGGAAACTATTTAATGTCTCCCATTTTTTCCTGATGACTGACTGATGTGAAGATGTTCCTGGTAGTTTTGTCCTTTAGTTCACTTTCTCTTCTGGGTGTTGAACTTCAACTGTGGTCGTCTATCACCAACTTCGTTGAAGACTTTCAACCTGATTTGGAAGGTGGGTTCCTTGCACTAGATAGTGAGTGGTGTGAACCTACATCTGCTCCATTTATTTATCCATCTTGTGTCTAGTAGGCTTGCTGTATCTCCACTTTCTTCACATTGAGATGAAATCGATCTGATTTTTGGTTTATCTTGGTGTCTGGTGAAATCTATGTCGCTTGCTTTGTGAATATCCTTGTGTCTGTACACACTACCTTCAATCACCAAGTCATTAAATGTGCAGAAGTCTGCAAACAGTTCTTCATTCTCGTTCATTTCACTGAGTACCTCTCGACCCATGATGAGTTCTACTCTTGTGTTGTACACTCCCAGTTTGGCATTAATGTCACCCAGCCCATTGGTATTTTGGTGTCACCATATGAGACGGCGTCTTGTCCAGTACCGATTGCAGCTACTTGCAGAATTCCTCCTTGTTCTCTTGATGTTCATTATTTGTAGGTGCACAGCGTAGCATTGCATGATTTTGACTTTCTTTCCATTTGTGTTGAATCTTGCTGACATTACCCTGATCCTGCAGGAGAAGGAGATTGGTTCCCACTGCATGAGAGTGAGCCTTTGATGTTGTTGGGTACATCATGATAGCCACTCTGAAACTCAGTGTGCTCGTGTTTGTCGTCTGATTGACACTGTAGGAGTAGATTATTGACTCTCCAGTTAAGAGTTTGGAGGGTCCACTTCCATTCCACCTGTTTTAGCAGATTCCTAGCACTTCAATGCCATACCTCCTCATCTCTTTTGTAATCTGGGCAGCTTTGCCAGTCAGCTCTAAACATGGTGCAGACATTCCATGTCAGCATCCTTACTTTCGCTTTCATGGATAGAGAGAAGACACACCAACCAATTGGCTTCCTGAAGGCTTTCACCAACCGGCATCATTTCGTCTCTGCGATTCCAGTGAGGAATGTTTATTTTTATTCTTTATATTTTCCATAGTGACTTTAAGTTTCTGTAGCAGTTCAACTGGTTTTACTGGGTGGGATTGCTAGCCCTATACCCAACCTTCACTCTTTATCCGGGCTTAGGACCGACTGGTAACTAGTGAACTAGCTAAGCAGGCGGGGTTGAATATATATGCGGGATGAGAGAGAATCCACTTGACGTTTGTGCATCTATGCAGTTAGTTCATGGATATCAGAGAACGTATATGATTATGTTACGTTGAAATTCCAATGTAGGCGCTACCATTAATAAAAAAATGTAAGCGTGTGTTTTAGGACATCTGGTAAATAACATGAAAGCATATCTCTATATGGCCATATAGCCTAAAAGAGTACATCTGAGACTTGTGTGATACTTAAATGTATTATGACTACAACATGCGACGGTTTCACTGAATAAGTCTAAGGTTGAAGCTGTAACCGTAGTGAGGTTATTAAGTAAAGCTTTTGATTCCTAGGTGAAAGTGAATGAAAATAAGCAAACTGCACAATATTAGAAGTCGTTAAACAACTGAACATGTTTCTTAAGTATAATGACGACTGAAACCAATATTTGTAAACTTCTTCGATAAATTAATTGAAGGATAAGCGGTAGCCACTTAGTATGTAGTGTAATAACCTATGTTTGTGGTATACTCTAAAAAAAATAATAAGTAGGTGATTATAGATATACTAAATCTTCAAAGCAATAAAAATTACTAGTCTGATGATAAACCTACTGCTATTATGTCCATTGATGTCTGATTGTATCGGACGAACTGAAATACAAAGTTGAAAATATTATTCTCAGTGTCGTATTTAAGTAAAGGTTGGTTCACTGACTTTTTCAGTTTCAATGAAGTACTAGGTTTGTATGATTTTTCTCGTCTTGAGTTATTTAATCCATATAATGTTGAAGATGAAGAGGATGGATAATTAGATGAAGTTCTCTTTCGATTACTTAATAAAGGAGATAAGATATAATGCGCCACTGATTGAGCTTGTCGCTTATCTCGATCAAGCAGCTTATCCATATTTATATAGGTGAGTGGGTCATCTGAATGTTCAGGATAGTTGCCTGAGTTTAAGAGACCTTCATCCCGATGACCAATATTCAATGAACTTCGGCTCCCATTCAGTGGTGAATTCTGAATATTCACATTTGCATTGCTAATTTTATTACTGTTCCATTGTGACTTATATGTTTCCTAAAAAAAAGTAAAAATTGTAGAAAATGTGTACCTGGATTACAATTGGTCAAAAGAATATGAGAAGGAAATTTGAAAAAATCCTTCCTTTCTAAACAGCTTTATATTATTTACCCTGTTTCACAGTCAACTAACTTACAACAGTTTTTGCGGTATCATCTAATATCCCATTAAAAGTTATTTTAAAGTGACAACTTTTATACAGCACAGTCACCTGTTTCAGTTAGTTGGTCTTGAAGTTGAAATCGCATGTTAACTGAATCTCTGTGTCTGTCTGTCAAGATAGGCTAACTATGTGCACAACTAAGAGCTCCAGTGTAGATGGAAATAGTCTTTGTATTTTTGCATGAAAATTTATCAGTGTGTTATGTTACTGCTTGTAATTTTAATCACCGACTGGACCAAACTGGCATGTGGACTCTTACGCGTCTGCCTCGTTATAACCTTTAGTTTCAGTAGGGCAGTAATACATCCGGTTGCATCGAGCTTACACTATGCAATAATATCTGTCTTGTATTGCATGATTTGGGACAGTCAGCAAGAAGCTCTGAACTTATTATTCCAATTATCACTGATTTGCAAAGCATCTCTTCCTTCTAGTGAAAGTTTTCTTGAATCTTTACTTGTCCTAGAGTCTACTCGGTGTAACTCAGTGAATACTTGTGAAGACATACTTCACTTGTTTCATTTCATGGTTCTTTATACAGTAATTATTTACAAGATAAAAAGTTGTGGAATACTAATGAACAAGACCCATAAGTTCGAATACATACTTCTAAAGACGATGAGAGCTTGCGATACGTATTCAGTAGACATTATAATCAAACTCAAAATCAATCAACTCCACAAATCGTGATCTATCAGACTTGTATTTCTACTGGATGATGATTAAAGTGAATAAGCGTCTGAGCAGCGGCAGAACTCCAACCTGTGACGCCATCTCAAGGACATCTGGTGTGAAGCTTTTCAATGATATGGTTGACTAAACTGTAAATAATATTGGGAATGCATATAAGGTATATGTTAATATCAAACCACCATGATATGAATGTCACCCATAACAATGCGTGCTATTAATACTCATTGTTTATTTAAGTTCTGCTTCAAACACCATACAAAAAGCAAATATTGGAGTTCTTAAGTTCATTATAAATACTGTTTAATTCGCTTGCTCTCCAGTGAACAATCAGTGTATGTAAGCGAGTGGCAGAAGAGGTAAATCGCGGCCCGAATAGCTCAGTGGCAAGGTGGCTGACTACAACACAGGGTGATGCCAGTCCCAAGCTCAAATGGGACATCAGTTCAATCAGGGTTGCAGATACACCTTGCTGAAGAGTGCCAATAAGCACGAAATCTATGTTCAGGGTTTCCTGCTTATCACCTCGAACCAACTAACAAAACTGTTTCTGATAATGATTGTTCGTTTATCCATTGTTACTTTGTTCTTTGTTAGCTTAACTGTGACAGTTCATTTACTTAACCGGACTGAAAAGAAAAAGTAAAGAGCTTAGTTCTATCGGCCACTGCCTTGATTATTTGGTACTCGCATGTACTTTCAATCGGTCAGTTGCAGCTTTGCTTATCACGAAAATGAGGGAGCACTATCTAACAAGGATGAACTCACCATCACTCAGATCATACTACGATGGTATTACACTGTCATTCATAAGCCAGGGTCTTTTTGATTATTATCATTGGTTCTTTGAATTCTGAATTTCACGCTTTTGCGCAACATCAAATCATAAGAATGAAGCAACTTTAAAGAAGTTGTTGATAGCTTCAAAACATGACACCTATTAAACTAATCATTCTACATGAATCTTAGTAATGAAACATTATTTGTGTCGTAATTCATCGAAAATAGAAGTGAACAGTAATTAAATCGGAGACAAGCTAGGAGAAGGGAAGTTTGAAGCAGAGAAGTGTTACACTCTAAGACTATCACCCAATTTATCCCTGCTTATTAATAATAGTTGGTATGGCTTCTGTACAAGTTTTTCAACCATTCTTCAAGTTTATATCACTGGTGAAATACCAGTTCCACTTTACTTTTCGTGAATAATAGATTAGCTAGTGGTAATGTAATGTCTTATAATCGTTATCAATGGATAACTGACTGTAAATCATATATTCATCAGTTTTTTAAACCAAATTATTTACAACACTTAAAAATTTGACTGGTTTTCAATTTTTCTTATACCTTGCCATCAGTCTAACATTATAACCATTTTTAAGACCCTTAGCATACACAAATACTGGTTGTAAGCACAGCTACTTGGTAGTTTTGGAATTTACCTTGACATTTTTACATCAGTTCGATGGATAAAAACTTGGGCATGGCATTTTCATTTAAAATGCATTAAACAAGAAGCATATTCTATATTATTTCAGTTGTTTTAATAAGTCAAGATTTAAAATTTACTGTTTCCAAAGTAACAACTGATTTACCGAATGACAGTGATACAACTCTTTTTCAAAATATTTAGAAGTAATGCTTCCTAAATAGGTTACTTCATTTGTGCTAAGTTCCTTGTACTGCTTATGCAAAAAAAGATTCAGTAAATAATAACACAGTTTAAGTATACTTCACTGTTTCAGAACTAAAGTTCATAGGGTCAGCATCATTTGACAATCATACACTCTTTGAAATATTCTAAGCATGCATGGCTATTTTTGTATTAAGCATCCATCATTTCTTAGTAACGAATAGTTTTAATATCTAACAGGATCATATAAGCAACAAGGAACTCTGGCAAAGAACCAACCAAGAACCTATCACCCACCAAATATGCAGTAGAAAGTGGAGATGGATTGAGCATACACTAAAAAGGCCGAATGGGAACATCACGCACCGAGCCAGGTCGTCGAATGGAATCCAAATGGGAAACGACAAGTTAGGTGCCCCAGCTGAAGGCAGCATGAAGAAGATCATGTGAAGAAGAAATGAAAGCTTCTGGATAGTCGTCGGGGCAGGTTGAAAAGACTGCAGAGAAGAGAGTGAAGTGGAGATGTGCTACTGAAGCCCTATGTTTCAGTAGGGACCCAAGGGAAAAATAAAATATAATAATAATAACAGAATCATTGCCTAAACCTTAATGATGTAGTGGAGGAAACATTTACAGAATCTTAGTGCGGTCTATTGATATTAGCCTAGCTGTATACAGTTCAAAATGCAGACTTACCACTCTTAAGGATGGTGAGGTAATTTAACCGTGAGGAATACTGTCAGCAAACATGTTGAATGTAGGTATTTAACTTTATTGACTGGAATTACTTTATGTCTCATGATTCAAACACAGTAACCAAGAAAGTAGTTCAATGTATTTGTGAATTATCTCATGACACTAATTTTTCAACAGTTGTTATCAGTGAAGGAGAGCCATTAGACGGGTTACGTCTAAGTAGCTATTAATAAACTGTGCAGTTATTGAAATAACTACAGTGAATATTTTTGGTTCACATTGAGCAGTTTTTCATATTACTTCATAAATATCACTATCGTCTTATTAAATTTCCGTATCATTAAGGACGAGCATGTGTCTGGATATTAACACTTAATTTTAATTACCAATGTGACTGTGTCAGATGCCCGTAGTTTGACAGACTTTTAGTAATACTGGGTGATGATTGAAGGTGAAATGAAATTTTAAGCCGCCGCAGGATTCCAACCAGCGACCTCCCATTATCTAGCTTGGGCTATATTGTTATCCAGAGTTGAAAGGTATGTGCTGCTAGAAGGTTAGTAGTGCAGTTGTATATGGTCTACAATGATCTTATTAGTCTGTTGAAAATCTATCACATATGAAATTGGTTTGGTGGCCGAAAGGTTTCAGGGAACTGGGTGGTTGTTCGCATCCTTCTCATGGATATCATTCCATTGAGACGTTGAAACCCAAGCTACTTGAGCCTATAATAAAGTATGTGACAGGTAGTATTTGTGGGGTAGGTCAGAGTTGGTTTGTTCATTTCTTGCACAGTCGATTCATATGACCACTGATCGGAATAACTAAGCTTGCTTGCACAAATAAATGGTGCAAATTGTCCACCGGGGTCAGGGCACCTGTGTGGTTACGCCGCAGAATGATACTGTATACCGTCCTCGTTTTAAAAGAAGCACTTATGTTTGGTTCTCCTAAAAACTAATTTATAATTGTTACTTTAAATGACAGGTGTATCATTGTGAATAAACTGGTTGATCCTGCCTGTCTCAGCCAAGTATGTCTAAGTACAAACCTTAATATGGTGAACCCACGAGGGGCTCATTAAATCAGCTATGGTCCTTCAGATCATAAAAACTATATAGATAACTGTAGTAATTCTAGAGCTAACATATGTCATTACACCCTGACCCATAAGGAGAGAAGTGGATTTATTAGAGCAGAACCAACCAATAAATTATAAAATGAAAACTGTATTTCAGGTTTTTGAGATAAAATTACCATAATATTAAATGATACCAGGTATCAGATAAGAAATTATACTTGTTCGGATCTCAGATAAACTTCCGGTATACCATTATTGGGGGAATTGGAAGTGATTAGTTCAAAACACTGATAGTTGCACAGCTGTGATAAACATAAAGTCATATTTTGCATGGTGTCAGGTATTTGTGAGAAGCCTTTTCTCATCCTCTTGTAAACATATGCAAGTTTTGATATTTATAAAGGATGATTGTACGAAAAATTCACTATCCTTATAAGATAGGCTAAAAATCACACCTGTTAAAGTTCAACCGTTATCTAATTCTGTTTAATGTCTATTTTTACAAATTACTCAATCAACATTGACTAGATTGATGAATTCAACTAAAATGTAGATTTCAGCGTCATTGTGTAATGTTGCAATGCAATAATCTCATTCAGAATAACATATAAAGTCTACTTATACCATACTGAGGCTAAACTTACAACTTTATTTTTCAGATGAATGGGGATTTTTAATTTAGAAGTAGTATTCATCATGGACTAACATCAGTTGGGGAACCATTGAAAATCTGGAAGCACTGGACAGCTGTTTCGTCCTAGTATGGGATTCCTCAGCAGTACTCACCCACGACCCGGCAACGGGTCGAACTCAAGGCCTTCAGGTTCCACGGCGAACGCGTTAACCATTCAGCCACTGGGTCGGTTTCCAGTGGTTCACAATTTCCAACTTTTGTAAATTCAGATGGATGTTAGGAAGTTCTAATGAGAATCCGTGACCTGCGGGGTCAACCGGTCGGAAGTGAAGTGGATACTAACTGAAGACCTTTGATGACAGTCGCGCTATGTCGTGAATTGACAGAAGTTGGAAATTGTGAACCACTGGAAACCAACCCAGTGGCTGGATGGTTAACACGTTCGCCGTGGAACCTGAAGGTCCTGAGTCCCATCCGTAGCTGGATAGTGGCTGAGAACTGCTGAGGAGTACCATACTAGGACGAAACAGCTGTCCAGTGCTCCCAGATTTTCAATGGTTCCGCAACGGATGTCAGTCCATGATGAATAATACAACTTAATTGTTAGGAAATAACATTCAAAGTTACAAATTCACTCACAGCAATTGAATGTTATGACTTTGTCTCATATCAACAATCAGATGTTATGGTTTCTATAAAAGTTAAATACTCACTTCCTAGGTTCTAACTTATCACCAACACTTAATACAAAAATCAGTCTGCCGAACAAGGCTAAGATGATTTTATCAACAACCAAGTAATTGCTTGTCTTCTAAGTTCATATCCATTTGGATTGGGACTAGGGAACATAGTTTGATAATCAATATTCTGAAGAACTGAAAGTCAACTATTTCCGACTCTAACGAATAATGTATAAAGCACCCTGTGATTAGCATTGACATTTCTTGACTCATTTAATAAAACATTAAAGCGAGAGCCTAGAGTTTACAGGTTCATATCCTGGACAAACCCAGTTTTTTCAGCTATAACTAAACAGAGCAGGATTACGACCTATCCTAAGGAGAAATGACAAGGAAAAAACCTCATTTTGATCGTATAAAAGTTATGACGATAGTGATAACACTACGTCAGATGCAATGTAATTACATCGCTGAAATCTCTGGTAAACAAGTAACTTATTAATTAAAGGAAGGAAAACGATAAAAAACCCTGTGACAAACCTGTGAGTTTTGATCGCCTACTTCGTGGCTACTTCTTTTGTTGTATACTCTCCTCATAATTCTATTTTCAAACCAATCAGAATTCTCAGAGTTTTTCATAAAATCATGTTGTAGTGCTAAATGTTCCACCCTTGATCTGTTGGTAACTTCGGAAGAATGATTTCCTGCGTTATTACTATAATTTTCAAATAATTCATTTGGTTTTCGATGAAAAACCGGTTCATATTTCAGTATATTTTGTCCATGAACGCTAGATATTTTGAATTGATCAAGAGGTGAGTGCATTATGACTGTAAGCACATATAAACAATTGAACATTGAAAATGATTTGGCTTGTATGTACCTGTCGGTTACACAATTCGAAAAATCTTTTGTAAACATCTTTCTTTTTAGTGTATACACATGTTTTTGTTCAGTAATATGGAAAGGAATGCCTGTAAGGCAAATCTGTTACAAAAACGTTTGCTAACCGTTAGTACAAAGATAAAATCACTTATTTGATTATTGACCTTAGAATAAAATGCTTTACACTGGAGTATTCGCATACAAACTGTTAATAAGTAATAGTTGGTATATCGCCATTGCAATATATGATGTCCTGTTATTAAACTACTAACTACGGATTATAAATGTTTAGACCAATCAATGAACTTTTAGTACTGGCCAATAGAATTCAAACATAGTTTATCACGTACTGAATGTACATGTGATGATGGGTTTCCCCTAACACAGTGTGTAATGGTTAAAAATTTTGTGCCAGAAAACTAATGTTTTGGTATACTTGTCAATCAACGAATCTCACATTTCAGAGGCAAGAAAAATCACAACAGTTTCATGACTTCCTTGATAATTGTCACTAAAGCTTGAAAAACAAACTTCATAGAGTAGAGTTGATTCGTCTCATTTCGTGGCTTGACGTCGTACGAAGAGTTTTGTGTAAATCCGAAAATAATATAAGGAAAAATAAAATAACCTTACATTTGAACGAGATAAATGTGTGTAACAGACAAAGCCAGATGATAGGAATGATTATAAAATTCTAGATATTTATACCTTAGCCAGGTGAATCAATGAAGATTCATAAATCCATTAATCAAAACCAATAATTCAAAGATGAATATAAACACTAAAGAAAATGGAAAACACATTTTATTGATTTGTAGATTGCCGAAAAACATGTTTCAGAGTTACACCAGATGTGAACTGAAAGAAAAGTAATTTCAGGGAACTTATCAAACAGCAACAAACAGATAATTATCGGGTCAGGCAGTACCTGCCAGACAGAAAAATTATATAAACATAAACCTTAACAAACGTATTGAAGCAAATGAAACAAAAATACAGTTTCCATAGTAATGCTAAGTTGATCACTGTTCCTCTTTGAGCATATAATTCAAGTTAAAACCCTGAATAGTAATCGACTTAGCAGAGTGAAGTTATACTTATCTTACTGACTAGAAGTGAAATCCCGGGGGGACACTTTTAGTCCCACTCGGGACTAGTCAGGTGGATGCACCTGTATCCCAGTGAGGGATGTTTTTCCTACTGGAACTTGAACCCTATGCTAATCGCTTCAAACGCTAGAGTTTCATCCACTGGGACACAATGACCACCTTTTATACAGCGGGTATCAGTTATTATGATATTTGTAACTCTCCACTGCCATACAGGTCCTAGTTGCTTGATCGCTGTTAGCACATAGGCTCGTATGAGGATGCCTCAATCCTGCCAGATATCCCTGATGTTATTTTTATCTTGATGACTGGCAGATAGATCCAGAATGCGCATTTACACCCATTCAGAACTTGTCAGCTAGATGTACCTGCACCCTAGTTAGTGCTACCAACTCCACAAGGGTTTCCTATTGTGTTCCAGTGGCCTAGTCGGTAGCGATTTGGCGTTTTTAGCAATGGGAACTGGGTTCGAGTTTAGGTGGGAAGAACACCACTCACTGGGGTCCAGTTTTATCCAGCTGATGAGTACCAAATGAGACGAAACACGCGTTGTGTATTCAACTGCTAGTTAACAAGATAAATATAACACGATGAACATCCTGTAAGATCGAGATATTCCCATGTGAGCCTATCTACCAATAAAGATCGAGCAATTCGGGCTTGTATACCAACGGGAAATTGAAAATACCAAAACAAGAAAAAGAATGAAGTTAGGTTTCTATTTTACTTTATTTAGTTATAAACTGTACATAAGTCAAAGTTGTGTTCAGACAGTTTAAGTTCCCCATGGGTAAACTTATCAGCAATCTCTTTAGAGTATATTCAGAATAGGAGACGGACTTTTTTATTTTTCTAGTGTATGTTTCTTAATATTGTCATATAAGTCCATGAATGCAATTGGAATGAGTATTAGCATATATCATACCGGAATATTTTTCTTTTGAATATAAGATGTCAAAAAAATTTAGACTGAAGGTTCTCTAATAATTTCTCACTAAATGAAATGATCATATGTATATTACAAATATTGACTTTACAAGATTAAGACATGTATCAGCGAAGAAATATTTCTTTTCAACAACTTCGATATCAAACTGTACAGTCGTATTTATACTTGGTAAAGTGACAGATAATTGCACTAAAACATTCCTCAGTCAATATGCAAAATATGCAATAGATGTAGGGGTAGTATTTATACAAGTGAAAATGATAGAAAATGCTGAAATCGGAACTCTCAGAATAATACTATCCAATAACGGATACCCTAAAAGATTTATTGATAAGAATAGGAAGAAACGAACCACTCCCCATCCCATTACAACCCTTAGAAAAATTTTAACCGTGAATCTAGAATTCAAAGGATACACCATAGCCGAAGTGCTGAAAAATCGTCTGTCAGGATGTGTAAATAGATGTGTAAATGTGTGTAGCTTCTATGCCGCAAGACTGAGATTGATATTATCCAGCCGCCGTCTGATTAGTCAATGGATGAAGGATAGGCTTCCACTTATTTTCACATCTGTGTGAATCTACAAGTTCACATGCTCCTGTAGAGCTGATTATATTGGACGTTGTAAGCGGACCCTCAAAAACGTGTTGTTGAATATCTCCCGGTTTGGTTTACCAAAGGCAAGCATAGGAAAACGACTTCATCCATATGTGAACATCTCGTTGAATGAGGTCATTCATCACACCGAAATTCATGCTTTAAAATAATCGACAAAGTGAAATAGAATTGCTCCAAAGGCTTATGTTTCCACCACTTATGCATAGCTGAAGCATTAGCTGTATATTAACAAAAACCAAAAATTTGCATTCAAAAACTTTCTGTGAAACCACTTTCTTCCCTAGGTCTTAACAGTTCATTTTGTTGATTTTGTCAATTTCATTTCTTTTCTCTATTATGCAGACCAAAGGATACAACAACCAAAGAAGACAAACCAAATATCATTTACAAAATCAACTGCAATAACTGTAGTCAACACTAGATCACCCTCTACACCTTCGTCTATATGAGCACCAATTGGCTATTAAACGCCAAGACATTTCGTAACTCACTTCAATTCGCGTGGATAACAACTATGGAGATTAATTCAGTTTCGACAATGTAGAAATTTTGGACAGGAAGAGGAAACACAAAGAATATCAGAGAATCCCAAGAAGCCTGGCATTCAGGTCAGTCAGTCAACAATCAACAAATGTACAGACATAGACCCAACCCATCAATCAATGAGAAAAAATGACACGATAATCAAAGGAAACAACCGATCACAAACTAGTTCGTCAGAATAAGCTACTAAATCACTCACCGAGAGATATTGACAGCTCACTTCATACTGAAGTTAGTGCTGATGATGTCGTCTAGAAAGATGATGATATCTCCACGATTAAATAACTCAGGTCAGTTAACACAATACTACCAAGATCACTTTGGTATACTTCTCTTTTATTATCATCGTTATCACCAATTTTCACTTCATTGACAAAGTTTGACCCAAATTCAACTACTGAATATTAATTCATTCCTTATTCATTGACCTATCTTGTATATTTCAGCTATATTATCCCCGTTTTACAATTCTTTGACAACACCTGTCTCTTATCTCACCACTTGTTATCAATTCTTTCCTTATTCAGTGACCCATTTTCTATCACTTCCACTTGAATAAATACTACCACCTACACCTACTGCATATTTTGCATATTGACTGACGAATGTTTTAGTGCAATTACCTATCACCTTACCGAGTATAAATAGGACTGTACAGCTTTATAATGAAGTTGTTGTTCTTATTTAGAAGATTAGTGTACTGCATTGGATCTTGCCAAATGTTTTCAAGCCAAGTTACTATTCATTTCTTGTGAATGAGTAGCTGGAGTTATCGATTTTTCATTTGATGGTTCTTCACAATTAAGTTACCATCGATGATAATGGTGGTTTGGTGTTCTCTGAGTTTCAGTATTGTTTCATGGACGTTTTATCACAAAGCTTAATGATGTCTTCTTTATGAGGATGTCACTAGGCATTATGACGAAAAATTCACAAGACAATATCGAAACTCAAAGAACATCAAGCCATTACTGTCTTCTTCCTAAACCAAGAATCTTTTCCATTTTTAGGAGTTATGAATCTGTTGAGCCTTCTTAGCGGTAATTTGACGCGGGAAAAATTATAAGAACTTTGTCATATGTACAAAAAACGTTAGTGTGCTTACAAGGTAGGCAAAATTACAACCGGGCACTAATATTTAGTTGGCAGGTGACTTCTAAATTTTATGCTTGCTAGTACTCATTCATCAGCAAGTCATGTTTGAAACATTGAAAAACTCAACGCAGAATCGCCACATAATCACGGGTCTTACACTCACACAGCGTCTGTATTATCTGTTAGTAATAAACATGCATATCAGACTATAATTTACCTTTTTATCGCAATAAGTCGTGTATATTGATCGTGCATTCACTTTCTTTTCCTAACACATAATTGCCCTTGTGTTACAAATTAAACAAAATAAGAATTATATCTCACTTTTAGTGTCAAGTGTATCAACCAGCTGCTAACTGTTAATATCTAAATGCACCCGATTTCGAGGTTTGTGAGGGTCTCACTAATTTCATGCCGGTATTCGTCAGTTAAATCGCCACAAAACTTCAAATCAAGTTGCCATCATTTACTCTTTAGTCACTTGTTTGGAATGAGATTCCCGAAGTTCTAATGAGAAGTCTTTACCGGTTGGATAAACCAGCTTGAACTTGATGACAGGTACTCAATGATGGCTTTGGATGAAGTCACGCTATATCTAAACTTAAGTAGAAAAATTTAGGCTATTAAACGTGGACCAAGTGGCTCAATGTTGATATACCGGCCATGAAAGATGAAGATTCTGGGTTTGACCCTACACCGGCTCCGCAGTATGCGCTACTGAGGAATCCAATACTGAAACGAAGAAGCTGCCAAGTGCTTACAGGTTTTCATTGTTCTTCCAACTAATATCAGTTCGTCATCAAAACCAGTTTGAAACCTAATTAAATGCTGACCATAATTTCTTCCGAAACTGTTCTCCTTTGAATGACCAAGTAAACTGTGTAGTGGTTTATGGTCGAATTATAGTTTAATGAAATAAGTGTTGCTGAACCAAAAGAAATAAACCGTGGTAAACTTAACACTGATTATTTTTATTACTATCAAAATATAGATGTCTTATAATTGTTTTTATTTAACTTATAGTTTATTCTAAAGTTAGTTTTCAATTCTAACCAGCTTTATTTGAACAACTGTTGTAAGTTCAACATGGAGAAAATCAACGTCGGCCTCTCTTCTATTCCAGATTCTGATACAAATTGGATGGATTACTGCTGCAAAACTCACGTACAGTTCTGCCTGCCTACCTATAGGCTAGATGATAATCTTCCACGACCTGATCTTTACAAGGTTTTTAACTTCAACACTGGGTGGTGCAAGTTTTAATACCTTAAGTGACATTATTTCCTTTGAGGTTGGAGAAACGCCATAAACCTAGGACTACGGCTTCTAACAGATTGCTCACCGATTCTCAATTAAAATCAT